CTGTACAGTACTTCAGCCCAATATTATTACCAGCGTGGCCCGTTGTGATCCTTAGGGACTTAGGCGCTTTTTTGCTTTGGCAATCTGTGCTCACAATGATGTGGCCCAATGCTGTTAAAATCCTTTTTAATGCGGTTTGATAATTCTTTGGAATTAACATGATGCAAACAAAAGGTGCCCGACAGGAAGGTGTTATACTATTTTTGTAAGCCTTATTAGGCTGCAAAAGCTGTTTGGGTTGATTCGAGATGACTAATTTAGTAAGAGTCATTCTCTTAGCATATTATATGCTTATTTTGGTTATGGTGAGAGTCATAGCTTAGGCTATTAGACTCGTTGATTACCATGATTTTTTATCATGTTTGGTGGATCATTTTGAGAGTTTCTTACTCGGATTCCTATCAAATATGTCTATTTTTAGACCTTTTGAGTGTTTATCACTCGGCCCTTTTCGTATTTTTTATCATTGATATGTTCAAATTGAGAAGCGGTCGGCTGGGTATTTTACTGAGTACCATGCATGCTTCGCTATAAAACCACTCGGTTCTTGACTACATGTTTAGTTTTTTTTAACTAATAACATAGTCGGGGGCTACACCTAATTAGGTGCATCTACTCGATGCACCATGTTTTATTTTCGCCCTTCACAGTCTTTGATTTTAGCACTCGGCAAGCTGGAGCAAGTTGAATTGAAGCACTCGGATTACTGTTTTTTGTTTCGAGAAGGCTATTTGGTCAACTGCGAAGGTCTCGGGGGCTACTGTGGAGATTATGGATATCCCATATCTATATGACAGTTATAATTTAGTCGGATATGTGGTACCAAATATAGATAGAATATCTTTATGAGGACTCGGGTTAGTTTCTAATTTGTATATCAAGGAAATACCCGGGATCCTAGTCGGTTACAATTGTATTTTATCTGTAATCCCATATTCCGTTAGGATATGGACTGTATTTTGTAAAGCGGACCTCTTCCCTTATATAAGGAGGGGTCCGTGTGCCTCTCGGGGCGTGATCTTTTTTCCAGTTATACAATCAATAATACACTCGGCGGAATCATCCCCGGACAGGAGTAGGGTATTACTTCTTGAATAAGAAGGCCTGAACTAGTATAAAATTCCTTGTCTCCAAACCCATCCACTTTCCTAGCTTGATAGCCACCCCCTTTTATTATTGTCGAAATCTTGTTTCGACACCGATCGCACCACATTTTTCGTTAGCAGGTTCTGCTTGGTTGGAAGTCGTTCTTTTGAGAGCAGCCAGGTTCTCTGATTTGAGCTTTTTTTCCCATTCTTAAGAAGGCACTATGAAATACCATGAGATATCAATCAAATCTGACCGTTGGTTTAGGAGGGGTAAGATTGGGCTAAAAAACCAATCGGTGAGGAACGACACCGTTGCTGCGGGAGAGGCCGTCAGATATCGTCGCTGCGTACTTCCTCCATTTCACAATATAAATTATTTTAGCATTTTCCACATTCATATTAATGTTAATGAATATAGACATATATATCTATCTAGATTCATTGATATTAACATGAATGTGGAAAATACTAGGATAACTTAAATTATGAAATGGAGGAAGTAGTTCTTAATCCTCCTTCTGCTTTCCTTCCCTTGCGAGCTCTCACCGCCATCCCAACTCGTGTGTCCTTGCCGTCGCATCCACGCCGCAGCGGCCGCCATCGCATCCACGCCCTCACCGAGGCCGCCGTGGCCACCGTCGCATCCTCGCCTGTTGAGCGAATTGTCTCAGTGTGTTGACGTCGCGCCGCTGTTGCTAGTACGGGTCGTCTTGAATCACCAGATTGGCTTCGTGGATTCTACTTTGACGCACACGTTTGGTTGCCGTGGAATCGAGCGTATAGGCAGTAAGAAGGAAAGTTGCATACACTAAAACTGAACTTTATCCTGGATTTGTTTGTTCTGGTATAACAACAGACAAATAGATCTAACCCAGTATACCCCCGCATCCAAATCCATGGACCATTTCTTTCTTCTTCCCCTTCTCTCTCCATCACACCATGGACCAAGGGAAGCATCAAGTCATGGCCGGTGTTGTGCCGGAGCCCCGCGCTGACGCCGCCGCTAGTGGCTTTGTTACGAAGGACACGGCCGATGACTTTGAGTTCTGCGTCATGTCAGTCGGGGGCCTCGTCCCATCCGGCGCCGCCGCCGGCGTGGCCAACATGTGCGTGTCCTTCGAGGTGTTTTCCAGGGGAAGCTGCTCCCTCTCTGCCCCTCGCCGACGGCGGCTGGCGATGCGGCCGGACTTGTACTTCTGGCACGGTCGGAGTTGGCGGCGTCCACCGTGGGTTCCAAATCCATCCCTAACGGCGACAGTCAACAATGCAGCATAGCAGCAGACGACACTGATGCTGCCTGGCGGCAATGGATTTGGGTCCACGATGCTCACCAGTCGCGGCCAGCGAACGAAAACTCTGGCGAGCTCGCATTGGATTTTAGCCCTTCTTCCCAAAGGGCTGCAAGTCAAAGCACCGCTAACGGATGAGCTCGGACGTGAAAGTACTAGTTTACCCTTCCACTCACGGTACCTCCTCAATCTGGGCCTGCGGTACCATGCAGTACGGACCAATCGCAGCTGTTCGATGTCGCTAGATCGATGGCTACGATTTGGTACCGCTCATTGTCAAAAACTCCTCTGATTTTTCTCATGAGTTTTGCTCTGGTCCAGCACTTGGTATCTCAAGGTACTAGTACCTCCAAGTACTAAATGAAATCTGACCGTTCAATCAACTGGGGCAAGATCGGAAAGAAAGTAAAGAGCGACAACACCATCTCCTCATCCTCACCGGCATATCAGTCGACGGCGCCGCATTCCGCCCTCCACACGCGACTGTCTTTGTCGCCGCCAGGCTGCCACCGCAGCCTGCCCTCCCCATAGGCCCTATCGCATCCTTCCTCCGTGGCAACGGCGGTGCGGTCGACGCCGCCGCAACATGTCCTGCCCCCCTCGGCCAATGCAATCTCCCATGGTGTGACCGACTATGCCGCCGCCGCCACAGTTTCCTCCCCCTACGTGGCTTGGCAACCGCGAACTTGCTCCATAGCATCGGGACACAGGATCCTGCCTTCGTTGCTATGCATCGGAGGTTGTTATGGACCCTTTCGCATGAGTAATGATTTTCTGTATGTTTGACAGAAGTTATATGGTAATATTGGTGATGAATAGGGAGACAAATTTAGGAGCATAAATGACCAAAAATATGTGTGAGACAGATATGAAGTATTGCTTTGGTGCTAGACGATGGATCTGGAACAGTGCTCTTAATTATCATGCTTGATTTATCAAACTGTTAAACTATATATTGACGGGCGAGGCTGAGTTTGATTTCTGGAACCTAGACCCTGGTGGCTGAACCTAGTCCCTGGTGATGAAATTTGTATTGAGATATTGCGGCGGATGGGCGAGCCCCGAATGGACGAAGGCGGGAAGGGGGCAGCTTCATCTTCCCTGCTTCGTCTCCTGTAGTGCCAATGGTCGCCGTCGGTGTTGAGAGGAGGGGCGTCATCGGCATGCTTCAACTCAGATCTGGCGGCCTCCCCATCACGATGCAGGGAGGAGATGGCGAGGCGGCCCCCATGGCTTCGGCTACTGATCTTCCAGTCCGCCTGCCTGCATCGGGCGAGCCCTCGGCACCGCGCCGCGCGGAGACGAGGGAAGGGCGATGAGGACAGGGCCGGAACGACGGCGGCAGCAACTCCTGTCGCTAGTTTGCATTGACAAACAATCGCTAATGCGAAAAGACTTCCTTACCCTTCCACCTCTCTATCATGATGCGGTACCATCCCAAGTAACTGGCGGTACCGACGAATATTAGCCTTTAGATCTGATCCAATCAATGGCTCATATTTGGTACCGCCACAACCTGTTGACTCTAAAAAAAGCTTTTTCTCATCGAATCTCTCAACTTCACTAGCCAAGTACAGTACCACCATGTTAAAAAAAAAAAAAGAGTACAGTACCACCAAGTACATGCGCCTCGCCGCCGGCCATGGCATCTGCCGTTGCTAGCACCATGCCCTCGCCGCCGCCCGCTGTATCGTTCGTGCGAGGCCGCGGCGGTGCAAGAGCCTGCCCCATTGACGGCATTGTTGCCGTCGTCGTCGTCAGCTGCGGTGGCGATGGTGGCAGTGGAGAGACAGCATGTGTCGAACGAGTTCATTGACTTTGAGTTCAGCCTTGGTGGACCATGTTGCCATCGTATGAGCTGTTCGCGGATGGGAAGCTGCTCCTGCTTCGGCCACAACCACATCGATCTGGTGGAGCGGAAGAGGGAGAGTATGACGGCGGGACCCCGCCAGTGCCGGAGCTCGCGATGACGGAGTGGACGGAGCGGCCAGTGGTGGTGGCCGAGGCGTTCGAACCGTACGTGTTCTCCCCTATGGCGCCGACGTGCTCGAGCAAATGGAGGAGCTGCTCAGCGTTGACATCTGCATCGCCGTCGCTGTCGGCGACGACGGCAACTTCGTCGATCGAGATCCTCCAACTCCTCGGCGACTCCTGCGCGCACGCACGGCGGCGCAGCGGGTTGCCACTTGCCAGCAGATGAATGGATGAGGCGAAGGGGAATGCACAGAGAGGTGCCACCGGAGTGTTTCGCCGTCGACGGGAGGACCGAGTCTCGAGCAATCCACAAGCGAGCGACATTTTCTCTTTTTGCTTTTTTTATGGATGAGCGATGCAAGCCACCGTGGGATCAACGAGTACAGACCGACCGAGACGGAGAAAAAAAATATATCAAAATTGATAATATATAGTAGTATAATATAATACTATTAGTGGATAACACCAGAGCGTTTTCTCCCTTTGTATTCTCAGTATGCAATGCCACTTAAAGGAACATAAGAAGTATTAAGCAAAATGCTCTAATCTTTGTGCCTCTTTGTATTCTTGGTCTCAATTAATTAACATCATAAGTTCACAAACACTACAATCCCAGAAATTAACAAACACAAGTCCGTGCCCAAATCAAAGTTCAAACAAACATGTTAGTGACAATCAAAAACCTCGGCATCAGTTCCATCCAATTTCACTTGATCGCATATCTACACAGCCCCCACTGCCCCACAGTTAATTGTCTGGCTATAGAGTACTAGACAAAAACATATCTAAACATAGGCCCCAAAGTTCATGTGTACTAAAACTTTGGTGAAGCAAAACGAAAAATGTCTTGTATCGTTACCGCCAAAGTTCTAACAACTAGTAACATATAGGCTTTTCTGTCGTCACTTCAAAATATATGCTAGATAACCTAGTAATGGATCTCCCTTCGCCTCTACATCCTGAGAAACTATCAATGTAGAAGCCCTGTGACAAGCCTCATGTTAGAAAACGATAGGCGAACAAACAATAAAAAACAATAGATCAATCACAAAAGACACGAGATTTAACGTGGAAAACCCTCCCAAAACAGGAGAGAAAAAACCACGGGCGCCAGCCAGCAAAATATCTTCACTATATCTGAGGTGAGGTTACATCGCCGCACGGCGGCTTACAAGAGGTATATATATAATGGAACCCTAAAAAGGATGATGATCCGTACGGCAGAAGCTGGCCTTTATTAAGTGTAAATAAATTTGGATCACAACTCAACACCTCAAGCTTAACCAGCTTCAAACGGGTCTTGGCAAGAAGTGACTTGTCGGCGTAAATCTCTTCCTGCGTTTCATTGTTTTTTGTTCTTGTGGACTTGATTCTTCTCAAGATATCAGCGCTTGGAGATGACTTAACAGCAGCCTTCAAACTTGTTATTTTATCATCAAGTGACCGTTTCATCTCATAAAGGTCAGCAATATGAATCAACAGACGTCCTTCCTCCAATTTAATTGATCTAAGGGCCTTCAGTCAGGTAAAAATAAAGATAGATTGCGTTAAAAGAAAAAGATAAATGGATGTATAAAGATCACCAATACTTTAGAAGCATGATAAGAGCATTACCTCATCAAAGGAGAATACAAAAGAATAGGCATTTGCAACTTCTTGGTCTGATATCCCATCCATGTTAATCTGAATTTACAAGCAATTAGTTCCAACAAGGATAAATCAATCATGGCAAAAGTGGTGCTGAATAAGTAAAACACTAAAAAGAATCTCATATAACAAATGGAGAAACAAAAAAACTAGAAGAAACAGAAACTACAGTGGCAAGAAAGGCATGTTATGGTGGAAATCCTAACCGCTCAACCTCCTGACAGCGATCAAGGTTTCTGGCAAGATTCCTCCATGGCTCTTTGTATTTGCATTGGATTCCAGTGCTCTGTTTCTTGTTTCCAAACTTGTTTTGGTCAGCTGTATCATTTCCATCTAGGTTTCTACTTTCTAGTGGGTATAAAGGTGAGAACGGTTTCTCTTGCCTGAGGTATTTGATTCAGTACCGATCTTATGGCATCTTCATTCAGCAAGTTTGAGCATAGAAGTTGGTCTTTCCAAGCTATCACAGTCCACAGCACATTCAGTTTATGGAATCTACAGTTTTGCACATAAGGGAGTGAACTAGGAGGGAGATCTTCATGCTCTTTGCAAGCCAGCCAGGAATACAAACGAATCAAGTGACAGCAATCTGGAAGGGAAGAAAACAGTGCAAGGGGCGATGTGCAAAAACTGAAATGGATACTGAATTTGATATTGATATGGGTTCAGAATAAATGAGACAGTGCAGAATGAATGAGCCTATAAAAAAATGTTGCAAGTGCCGGGGAACAAAAATAAGGTATGCAAAATCTCTGGAAAAGAAGCGGGAGCAACAAGGCACCATAGCTGGCTGCCAACCAAGATAATAACACCTCAGTGCATGTCATCCAGTGAGATACCGGTCATTGTTCCTGATTCAGTGCCTTTATCTAAGAGAAATTTGAACCTTAAAAAGACAGTGAAGAAGGACTGAAGGAACTGATCCAGAACTAGAATAATAAGAAAGCAGTAACTGATCCATCCTAGTTTGCACCAAGGTGATCCTCTTTCACCTTACTTCTTCCTTTTCGCTGATAGTTCATCTGACCTTTTAGAAAAGGAAATTCATGATGATAATATCAAAACTCTGAAAATCAGTCAAAGTGCCCATGGTGTATCCCATCTCATATTTGCGGATGATAACCTCCTGTTTTTGTAACGCGGAGGTAATTCAGCAAATTGTATAAAGGGGATCAAGTTTGCTATTGGGATGGATCAATTAATTTTCCTATCAAGTGCTCCCTTATGAAGGACAGCTGTAACCAAGCTTTATATGATGAGATGTGTTTTACTCTAGAGGTGGACAGAGTATCATTTCAGCCTACACCTGAAGGAAGAATGAAACCCGTTAGATTCCAATTTTCGAAAGAGAAGTTGAGCAAGAGGCACAACAGCTTTCTGCTGGGGCAAAAGAGGTCTTGATTACATCAGTTGCACAAGCTATACCGATGTAAATCATGTGTTTTCCACCTGCCAGTCTGTGTGTGTGATGAGCTTACCCAGTGCATCCAGAAGACCAGAACTATTGGCAGGGTGAAGGATAATAGAGGAGAATTCATTGGATACCTCGGGGGAAAAAAAGAAGCTAAATCCTTGGGAGGTTTTTGTTTTAGAGACTTGGCATTTTTCAATCTAGTTTGCCAGTTTGGCAAGCTTGTGTCATATTGAGTTCCCTGATACTAGCCTTTATTCTCAAATGTTAAAAGGAAGAGTAAATTCACAGAACTGTAATTTTTTGGGTTAAAACTATCACTTCGCCAACTAAGAAACCATTATTCCATTAGCCAATCCCCATACCTTGGAGCCAATCACAGGGCAGTAGTCATCTTCAGCTGGTCCTTGCGGTTGCTGGGAAGCCCCGCCCCCTCCCTCGCTGAGGCGCCTCTTCTCCTCCCGGGACCTGCGGAGGATTCTCCCACCCCCATGGCGCTAAAACCAACACGGAAACCGCAAGTCAGAAACTCCAAGTTCGTCACATCGCCCATACGCGCGCACGGCGAACCAACCATGGCTAGTGACTGACGAGATGACGAAAATCTTACCCTGATGATCCTTGCCATTGGAGCACCAGTGCTGCGCCTGCCTCTCCCGCGATCTCGCTGGCGAGGGGCGCCGCCACAGCGCGGTGGAGGAAGACGATGGGGGCGGCGAGACGAGACGGTCACGAGGAGGAGGTGGGGTTTTTCCGGGGAGGGGAGGAAGGGAGGAGGGGGTTTTCTACTTTTTCTTTGGGAGCGGAGCGGAGCAGAGCAGAGGACGATCACTACGAGACAGAGGAGAGAGAAAGGGGACAGTTAGTCGACTGGTTGGGCCGAACGGCCCAGCACTGCTTTGCTAGGTCCGTTTTGCCTATCATCTCTTGCCTATGCTCGAGTAGTTTTCCTCAACGATAAAATCGGGTATGACCTCTTATTCAATCTTTGAAAACTGATGTAAATCAAATCCTTTGTAGTTTCAGCAGCGGTTTCTTCCTACGTGGTACCCATGGGACCCTCATGTCAGTGAAAAAAAATTAACAATCCCACATGTCAGTCGTCTTAATCTTCTTCTTTTTTTCCTCCACCGACGTCGTTTTCGCCCCGCATGCTGCCACTTTCACTATCGCCGCTCCGGTGATGCTAGCTACTGCCACCCCCGCTTGGAGAGAGAAAACACACTCGAGAGAGAGGGGTAAGGAAAAAGAAAAATATATTAGGATGGCCAACATATCAGGCTGTTAATTCTTTTCACCAATATATGGGGTCCCATGAGTATACGTAGAACGAAACTGCTTCTGAAACCACCAAGAAAGGGAGGGGGCGATTGATTGGTTTCAGGCCCGGTTGCACAATTGTCGCTGCAAGAAACAACCCACAGCTGCATGGGCCAGAATCCATGAAGAAAATATGTTATTTTGTAAAGGAAGAGCTGGTTAATTTAATGTGAGAAGCTATATATATTTAACAAAAGAGTAAAGTGCATTAGCGGTCCTTAAATTTATAGGGTTGTGTCATATAGATCCCTAAACTCTCAGAATGCATATCCAAGTCCCATAACTTATCAAAGTGTACCATCTAGGTCCCAAATTGACACATCCCCTCTAGAATCCTACGTGGCGCTGATGTGACAATGCCACATGGACGTGACGTGTCCTTTTCTCTTTTTTTCTTCTTTTCTTTTTCTTTTTCGTTTTCTTCTCATTCTTCTTTTTTCCCTTTCTTCTGCACAGGTCATAGAGGAAGGGGAAAAGGAGAAGAAAATAAGAAAAAGGAAAAAAAATTAAATGGGTCCTATTTGTCAGTCAAAATAATGCCACGTCGTGTCCGTGTGGCATGACACGTCAACGCCACGTAGGATCCTGAAGGGGTTGCGGCGATTTGGGACCTGGATGACACACTATGACAAGTTCTGGGACTTGGATATGCATTTTGAAAGTTTAGAGACCTAAATGACACAGCTCTATAAGTTTAAGGACCGTCTGTACACTTTACTCTTAACAAAAATGGTAGAGGTGTTTATATTTTAGAACAGATAGAGTAGGGTATAGGGTTGAAGAATTTTGACTATGAAAAAAAAACATCTTATAATATCAAAAAGAGTAGTACATTTTTTTAGTTTATAATACTTAAGACTCAATTAATCATATGCTAATTGAGACTCATTAACAAAACGACTTATTAGCATATGATTAATTGGAACTTAAGTATTAGAAACTGAAAAAAAATGTACACTTACTTTTTCATATTATAAGACGTTTTGATTTTTTTTTAAGTCAAACTCTTTAAGTTTAACTAAGTTTATTTAAAATTTTAGCAGTATCTACAACATCAAATTAGTTTCACTAGTACTAACATTGAATATATTTTGATAATATGTTTAAACGGAGGGAATATTTATTTTTTAAAAAAGAAAACTTATATATACAAAGTATTTAAAAAAACACCGTTTAGCCGTTCACGATACGAGCTCACTGTAAACGTAGGCATTCCTAACTTTAGTATTGCTTCAACTAATTAATCATCTTTGTTTCCAAAAACAGAATGCGCGATGTCCTTTAGATTCTTCCTGTCTCACCGGGCCAATCAGTGGTCAATGGAGCAAGAGAGCATGCACAACAGTGTGTTTCAGCTTCGGACAGCAAAACCCGAGGAAAACAAGCCCGTCACTCCATCTCACTCTCACGTAAATGTGAACAAAATCCAAGAGGGAAAAGATAAGCGCAAATTAACCACACAGTACTGGATGCCTTCATCCAATCTGAACCTCATCTTCGCGGGTGCACCTCCTTTGATCAGTTTGTAAAGCTCTTAACTCCGATGCATCAAGCTGAATTTGTTTAGTTACACGTTAAAATTAGAAGTTTGACTAAAATTAAAAGTTTAAAGACAAAAGTTAAAAGTTTATGTGTGTAGGAAAGTTTCGATGTGATGAAAAAGTTGAAAGTTTGAAGAAAAAGTTAGGAAACAGGCTTACTACATGAATTGGCATTCGTCTCAAGGTGTCCGTGTCTGCCATGGATGGAATTTGATTAAGCTGGAAGCACAGCATATGCAGTGGCAACTGGCAAGCAGGTTGAAGTGAACTGTGGCACTGTGCAGTGTGTTGCCAATCTGGCAGCCATGGCCATTGCTGACCTGCTGCCTCTACCTGCTTCTTCCTCAATGAGTGGCCTGGCCAGTGGCCACTGGATGTGCTTGCATGTCCCTTTCACGGTTGGTGCATCGGTTCCTTTCGCGCCACTCATCAAACCAACCTGTGTCGAGATTGCGACAGGTGCATTTGCACCTGAGAGGCAAACAATTTGCAATGAAAGTTCAGAGAGTTCAGGTCGTCTGCATTGTTCACTGGTACTGTCCATATAGATAGGACAGACATAGTGGTAGACATACTAAGTAGAATTTCTGTCATCGATTCTTCTATCATTACTATCTGGACATTGACATATGTACATTACTGTGTCGCTATCTATTAGCAGTAGAAAAGGTTGTTCTTGGATAAACCATATGATCATCAGATACTTATGGTGTTATCAATCAACAGACGAGTTGACGATAATGGTAAGATTCATCATTAATTCAAATAATTGCTGTCATTTCATATTTTTCAAACGTAGGGTCAAATTTAGAAAACCCTTATTATGAGCCTCATACATACGAAGAGAAAACACACATGTTCTTTTGTTTTTTTTGTATGGGGACAAAAAAAAAAGCACAAGGCAAAACGAATTCCTCGAGTCCACCGTGGACCGGGCCCATGCACCGAAACACGAGTTCTGGGCCTTGGGCCTTCTGGCTCAGTTCGGAGACCAGCACGCACACGTTTAAGGATCAGATGGACCGGGTTCACAACCTCGCGTAAACACCCACGAAATTCTCCGCAAAAGATAAAAATAAAATAAAATAAAACCCACCCCCCTTCTCCTCTCCTCCATCTCCTCGCTTCGTCCCGTTCACACCACCACCGTCTCGTCGCCTCGTCGGCGGCGTCTCCTCCGCGCGAGGGTCCCCCCCCAAACCCTAGCCGCCGCCATTGCCACGCGCGCGCCCCCCACCCCACGAATGGAAGGAGGCGGAGGCGGAGGCGGAGGCGGTGGCGGAGGTGGAGGTGGAGGAGGCGGAGGCGGGGCACCGTACGCCACGCGCACGGCGGAGGAGGTCTTCCGCGACCTCCGGGGCCGCCGCGCCGGCATGATCAAGGCCCTCACCACCGGTACGCCGCGCGCGCGCTCCCTCCCTTACCCGATTTCTCAGTCGCCCCGCGGATTCGTGTGACTGAGCTGGTTGTTTGTTTTGCAGATGTGGAGAAGTTTTACAAGCTCTGCGACCCTGGTGAGTGCGCGCCGGTTTCGATCTCTTCGTGTTCCTCGCCCCGGGTGGGGGATTGGGAGCGGAGGAGCTTTCCGTGTTTTTGCTGCTTCGTTTTGTTTGCTCAAGTGCTAGATTGGATGCTAAATTTGGAAAAAAAAAATTCGCTCTTTCTCCACTTTGGTGCTTGGGTTGGAACTTGGAATTATTGGTGATTCTGTAGTTTTGATCAATGCTGCGCTGTGTTGTAGTTGTTGGATTCTGGTAAGAGATTGGAGCTCGGGACTCCAGTTTCCCAAGGAAAACGGGGAGAAGATTTTGGGGGTTGATTGGAAACTGTGGTGGATAAGTTGGTAGGTTTCGTTTTTTTGCTGGGTTGCTATCACTGGCTGCTGCCATTAGAGATTGCTGAGAATTTTAGTCCTATTGGTGCCATGGGATTATCGAGTAGTTGACTTCGGCGTGTTTGGATGCCCTATCCATGCTTGTGTGCGCGTGCCCTTGCTTGTTTGATTCGGTTTTATTGCAACAGACAATTCAGTAAAACCGTAGCATATGATGCTTGGATAATATGCTACTACCGAGTTGGAAGTGTATCTTTCATTGCATGGATGGTACTGTGCGTCTGGTTGTAATACGTGGTTGGTTGCTTGTGTTACTTACCCTATACTAGTAATTAATGTCTGATCTGCTTATGTGCTATTATTAAATGTTACTATTATGACTTGGTCCGCAGTGCTGTCTACTTGAGCCTTGCACTCTCGTTAGCAGCTGGGCATACATAGTAGTAGAGCAACTTCTAAGCTCTGAACACTATTACTCAGCAGATTGTTCGTAGGGTTTATGGGTACTAATTCTTCTGTTTTGAACAGAAAAGGAGAACTTGTGCCTTTATGGATATCCTAATGAAACATGGGAGGTGACCTTGCCAGCTGAGGAAGTGCCCCCAGAGATCCCTGAACCAGCATTGGGAATCAACTTCGCTAGGGATGGCATGAATGAGAAAGACTGGTTGGCGTTAGTCGCAGTTCACAGTGATTCCTGGTTACTGTCTGTTGCATTCTACTTTGGAGCCCGATTTGGTTTTGACAGAGAAGCAAGGTAATTTTTTTTCGCCAAAAAAATCCTGCAGTTTTCTTAGTCAAAATGACATGAATGTTTTCTATGGCTTCTGGTGGCTGACCCGCCACATAGAGTTGTCATTTGATCAAATTTTGAGCAGCAAATCAGTATGCATCACATTTAGGATTAGGTTCTGGAATTCCTGTCCTGATCAGTTTCTGGAATTGCTGGCTGCCAGCAATATTCTTAGTGTTATTTAATGGACACGAAACTGAAAGAGACTATGACAATATCTAAAGGAGTGAATGTTTCTTTAAGCTATGTAATTCACAGTCACTTCATATTCTCGAAAGGTTTTATTAGGAACAGCACAAAAGTATGACCGAAAAGCCGTTAATTCCAGTTATAACTGAATTGAATTTATTTCATGGTTCCATGTAAGCTTGGCAGGAAACTTTTGTACTTATGATCTGACCAGTTATTGAAGATTTGCTAAAATAGAGTAGATTTCAGTTTGAACTACAGCAATAAACACAGTTCACTCTCGCTATTATAGGCTAGATTTCAGTTTGAACTACAGCAATAAACACAGTTCACCGTCGCTATTATAGGCTAGATTTCAGTCTAACCTACAGCAACGATGTGCATCATCTAACATTGGGACTGTTAATTGAAAAGGTCCTGGGCTACTTTTCTTGGTGAACATGTAAAAAGGATGGGACTGTCATTGGCAAGTTGAGTTAGCGAGAAATATCTAATCTAAATCAGTTAAAGTGATGTTTGTACATTTCTAGTTCTCTGTTGAAACATTTCTAGTGCATGGTATACCAGCCTTTAATTCAGTGTTTGTTAAGAGGATGAAATTACGAAGTCTATGTTTGTTTGCTGCTTGGAGATATATGCTAATGTTCATCACATACTATTAAGCTATTCAGAGGATCTATTTTCTTGTAAATGTGGTTTCCATACTTTTTAGAGTAAATTAATGCGCTTAGAAATGTTCATGTTGTAGAAGCATAATGTAATACATGCTTTACGTCTAATGCTACTCAGACGCGATTTTGCAGAATAGATTGTGGAAAGTGTTACCAGAATTCCAGAATATAAGAAAATGCACACCATGTTGTAGGAGGATGTGCAACATTTTTTTTATTCAATAATCATAATCAGCAGTGCTAATCATTTATATCTAACAATTCATTTTTATTTTTAGTATTGTTACTCATTTCAATCTCTACAAAATCAAAGGATCTTCACCTTGAATTCTTACATTTGTCTTTTTCTAAACATGCATACACACTAAGCGCACAGACAAACTATTTCCTGTCACATGCTCAAGTTTACAGACCAAATAGAATCAAATTTCACTGTGGTTCTGAATGTTTTTCTGTTCACCATCTTGGATTGACTCCACTCGCTGCACAGAGTTATCATTATTTGAGTTTCTTTTCTAATAGAGGCTGTTTATCTCTGGTGTTATCTTGCTTAAAATGGTTTTGGCTAGTTATTTAGCAGCAACCAAGGTGTTTTGTGGTCTAACGAGTTTTTCTAAACAGTGCTATTATTTTGTTCTAGTATATTAAATATAGTTATATACTTTTATTATAATAATTCAACATGTTTTCATAATGGGGCCCATGATATTTGAATTTCCGTATATTATTATTATTTGTATGTGTTTTTGCTCTTCCTTCTCTTATATATGTTTCCTTCACCTTCGTTTGCTTTTAATTATTCATAATGTATTGTAAGTTTGCAACATTAACCGTTCAATTACAAATTTTGAGGCCTCATTCTGGATATCCTATGAAACCTTAGTAGTAGTTCGCCATCAAAACTTTGGATGATCTTGGACAAATTGTCAAGGCTTAGAATGGGGTATTTTGGTGAATCAACAAATACTGTTGTCCTGTGTTCTCCGTTAACCCTGAGCTTGCATTTTCACCTTAATCGGTTTCTTTATGTTCCTACCTCCTCAGCTTTGTTTTATCATCTATTACTAACTCAGATTTCAGTTAGAAATTTCAGATGTTTCTCTTAAATTATATACAACAGCAACTGTATTCAATTGTATCCAAGTAACAAAAAGTGCTTACCATTTAATGAGGCAAGGATAATCTTAAGTTAGCTGTGTCTTAACACTCGAGAGCTAAGACAACCTCACAACCGTGAGTCAAAATACAGAGGGTTTCGCTAGTTGGTTCTCATAATCACTATAAGCTTGTGGGTTGTGTTGAAGGAGAATGAATATCTTGCCAAATATGTGTATTACCACAGTTTAGTTTGTGATGTCTGACCTAGCCAAACTGAAGTTCATCTGAATTTGACATGTTTAGTTTTATTTTATCTTTTTCTTAGAAAACTGCTGTCTGGCCACTGGCTATTTTATCCCTAGTTCAGGCTTGCTTGCACTCCTAAGTTACATTTTGGTTCTACTATTTTCTTATGCAGGAGGCGACTCTTTAATATGATAAACAATTTGCCAACAATATTTGAGGTAGTGACAGGAGCCGCTAAGAAGCAGGCGAAAGAAAAGACTCCCAACAGTAGTAGCAAGAGCAACAAGCCTAGTTCGAAAGTGGTAAATTAATGAGCATGCACTTCTGTTTTATCGTGACTTGAATCTCTGCTGAGTACAATTTCTTTCTGCAGCAGTCAAAAGCTGAGTCTCGTTCGAAATCTAAGCTGTCAGCCCCCAAGGATGAAGAGGGAAGTGGTGATGATGAGGGAGAGGAAGAGGAGGATGACCATGACAACACTTTGTGTGGGACCTGTGGAACCAACGATGGCAAGGACGAGTTCTGGATCTGTTGCGATAACTGCGAGAAGTGGTATCATGGGAAGTGCGTCAAGATCACACCCGCTCGTGCCGAGCATATCAAGCAGTACAAGTGCCCGGACTGCACCAACAAGAGGGCCCGGGCATGAGTAACAAGAAGCTGTGTCGAACTGTGTTAGAGTGGAGTTGTCAATCTCCGGATGTCATGATCTCTTAGATATTATCTTGCCCTAGCTTTTCTAGTTTGTAAGCTTGTCTCTAATTTAATTTTAAACTGTAACTGTTGATTAACCTACCTGTGTTTAAAGCTTCATCTTTCCTGTGTTAATTCTAGCATTCATAGTGTGTAAACTTGCACATCTTGTGTCAACTGAAGCCTGAAGGTACGGCGGCTCCCCTGACCATTCTTTGTGTCTGTTTCCTGGATTTTTCACATTTTGGTCTTTTTGAAAAACTTATTTCGTAAATAGACCCCTGAAAAAACTTATCCCAGAAATGGTCTTTTTTGGGGCGCAGCGCCAGCCTCTCTGGCGCCGTCCTCCTGCCACATGGCACACGCGAACTGACGTGGCAGGAGGAGAGCGCCCGCCCTAGGGAGGAGGGCGCCGCCCCCCCCCCCCCCCCCAACCCCTCACCTCCATTCATGTTTCTCTGTATGAAGTTGCAACGGTATCATTTTTGTTTTATTTTTTCGGATGTTTTTTCACACTTAGGATCACGATACAACCAAATTTAAACTCGAACTATCACTTAGCTAAGTCTGAAAATAGCTAGCATACCACTTAGTCTACTTTGCACCTTCACTAAAATTAGACCATAACTCCTTTATTAAAACCTTTTGATTAGCATGTTACACATAATGCACTCTATCACTATATGAAATTACATAATCTAATTCAAAATATAACCACATGAAATGATAGCCATAAGTTAAACAGTACAGAGAGATGCATTTTTTTTATTTTTATTTCATTTTTTTTAATATTTTTTTCATACTTAGGAGAACATAGGAACCAACCATATAAAAAATAAACTCAAACGGACTAAATATGTGACTTGTAGAATTTTCCAAAACTCTACCGAAACGGACAAAATATGTCATTTATTAAAATAGGCGTAACTTTCTCATACGGACTCAGAATCAGGCAAATAATATATCCACGGACATCTACAGAAAAAGTTACATCCGATTCTTCCCACTTTGTCGGGTTCGGCGATATTAAAACCTCCAAATTCCGCTTGCAAGATTGTGTTTTCGAGGAGAGAAGTTTTTTGGTAGAGCTTTGGAAAATTCCACAGGCCACATATTTTGTCCGTTTGAGTTTATTTTTTATATGGTTGGTTCTTGTGAGTTCCTAAGTGTGAAAAAAATATCAAAAAAATAAAATAAAAATAAAAAAGTTGCACATCTCTCTCCTCTGCACTAGTTTGGAGAGAGGAGAGGAGAGGAGAGGAAAAATTCTACCGGTCACATATTACGTTCATTTGAGTTTATTTTTTCTATGGTGTGTTCTTATGTGTCCCTAAGCGTGAAAAAAATATCAAAAAATAAAAGAAAAATAAAAAATTTCGGGGGGGGGGGGGACGCCAGCCACTCTGGTGCGCTCCCCCTAGCCACCTTAGCATCGCCCCGCCACGTCGGCAGGGGGACGGCGCCAGAGAGGCTGGCGCCGTCCACTCTGGCGCCCCAAAAAGGACCATTTATGGGAGAAGTTTTTTTAGGGGCTATTTGCGAAATAAGTTTTTCAAAAGTACCAAAATGTGAAAAATTCAGTGTCTGTTTCCAGCTTCCTGACCTTTCTCTTGGAGTTTGTTCGTGTTGGTTTGAAAAGCCTGTTGAAGGGGTACGTGTACCAGGATGATTGGTAAATAACCAACTCTGGGTCATTACTACTGCACTTGTGAGTTTGTGTCTGCACAGTCCTGTCCTGAAGATTGGTGACGACTGATGTTGTAATGCGTGGGTTTGTGTATATTTTCTATTTTGGGGTTTGGTTCTTCGTTGCTGCGTCCTTTGGGGTTCTGTAGTTATTTTTAATGAAACACCAGATATTGCCCAAATTACAAAGTCATGTATAATAGTAAAATACATGCCACTTAAATACACACTCAGATTGTTGCTCAAGTATACTCGATCGACTATGTCATCCTATTTGAAATTAGTGCATTGCAAAAAAAAAAGGCTAATATGTACATCCACGGAAATACAATGTATCATTTTTATTAACTAGCATCCTGTAACTCTTGCAAAAATGGCATAGAACTTTTTCCCAGGAAATCATCTTTAAAATCTATTGAAAAAAAATCCAGAGAGATTTTAGAATTTATATGCTCTTTTTACCAGCAGTCTTGAGGACTTTGTAATCTCAAATCTCAATCTCTTACTGGGCCGTACTCTATAGGCCGAAGCGGCCCATGGCATATGTGCTCTCGCCGACTCGGATTCCTTCATCAAAAGGAGTAAGTTAACCGGAGGTCCCTCAACTTAACAACGAGATTATTTTACATCCCTTAACCACAAAACCAGGAATGTGTATCCCTAAACTCACACAAACCGTGCATTCAAGGACCTATGACAGTATATATGGGTGGTTTCACTGACATGGCATCCTAGTCAGCAAATAATTTTTTTAAAAAAGAATATGGGGTCCACATGTAAGTGAGATGAAAAAAATGAGGCCCACATATCTTATTTCTTTTTTTTTCCTTTTATTTTCTCTTATCTTCTCTTCTCCTCTGCCGCCCACTCCGCTCCGCTCGCCTGCGCGCGCTCTTGTTTCGGTGTACAGTCTACATGTACTTACTGAATATCCATGCTAGAGTGTTGGCTCATCATCGTTTTTCGTTTCTTTCATTTCTTGAAAACCTGTGCAGATGGAGAATCGATTGTGATGACATTCCGATGGCATACCCGTATGTGGAGTTCCAGAGAGGTCTGCCCATAGAAATCTAGCCACTTTGCTCTGAATCCTGACTGGTTTGCAGTTGCAGCCATGGTGAGCGAGCTCATCAAATCATCCCCGCAAGCGAGGGGGAGATGCACACAAGAACGACGGACGGAGAGGATTAGTCAGTGAAACAAAAACAAAAAAGAGAAAAGATTGCAAGAACTGAAGAAATGCATTGGGCACTAGCCAGTAGGACCTATCAACGAGCCAAGCTGAGATTGTAATTTGCTGTACATGGTGTAAGGTATGCCAATATATGTTTGAGGGAACTCCTCTAGCTTGCACCACATGACTGTGGCCAAGAGAGTAGGCAAGTAGCTTGCTTCGTTAAGGTGTATACGTACCATCGCACTTTTTGAGAAATTAATCTCCAGACCAATAGCAAGAGAGAAATTGATAAGGATCTCTTTGAGTAGAAATATATTTGTGTCAGACGCCCTGTATTTTTTCAGTGTATCGTTTGCGTACTGAAGAGTTGCTGGAGGTAGCGATTGATCGAGTGAGCGGGCCATGTCACTTTTTTGAATCATTCTTTGTAAGATGTAGGGGGGCAGTGGGTCTTTCTTGCCTTGTTTGCGACTGCAGATTTTGCTATAGTAAGAAGAGAGTTGATCCAATTCTGCAAGCGTTCATCAAACCCTCTGCAATATACTCCCTCCCTCCCTATAAAAAAAAGGGACAGAGGGAGTAGTACTTTTTTCCCGACTGTCCCGCTGTACTGAATCATCAAAAGCTTTTGCAAAGCTTAGTTTGAGAATGACTATAGGTAGTCTTCTCTTGTGGCAGCATTGTACCAACTCCATTGCATATAAGAAAGGTTCCGAGATGTTCCTCTCGTATGAACCCTGTTTGGTAACATTGGATGATTTTGCTATTTCAGGTTGCAGCCTGTTAGTAAGAATCTTATAGTGATTTTGGAGGGAGATGGGACAGTAGGTTTCAACTCTAGTTTATGAATGAGGATAATATAGGTCAGTTTCTCAAATAGACAGTGTTCTGCTGGATTTGAAGGAGAGATGTATAATTTGCGAGGTGATATGCTGTTATAAGCTTGGTCCTAGCCTATATGGCCCTGGAGTACTTTCTTTATTAATCTATGTCACAGTTTACATTATCTCTTGCTTTGCTGAGTAAAGAGGCTACTAGGCTTTCAGGCTGAATCTTTGGTTGATCCTGCTATGTAGAATCGAGATCGAATCTTCACTCAACTTGTTTGCCCTCCCTAAAGTTTTAATCATGTAGAATCGAGATCGAATCTTCACTCAACTTGTTTGCCCTCCCTAAAGTTTTAATGCCTCCCTAAAGTTTTAATCATGTAACAACTGTGCTTTAGTCTGAATCACCTGATAAAAAAAATTTATCTTGTTTTGAGGCATTGGCATGGAAGAATTTAGTGTTAGCATCTCCAAATTTTATCCGCATTAATTTTTGATCTTTGATACTACTAGGATACCCTTAGGGCTTGCTTAGAAATGTTGAACGAATAATCTAGGATTTTTAGTGCAATATTATGTTGTTTGGGAGTTTCTTTCTACTATAAACGAGTTAAGAGGCTTTTGTTTCGATGTTTAATGGAGAAGAGGAGAGGATAGAATTCAAGTGCTAAGGGAGGAGAGGCTTTTGTTTCGGAGCTCAAGAGAGGAGGCTAAGTGAGGGTGATTGTGGTAGAATTTAACCAATGTATGGGAGCTTAAAGAGGGGAGGAGGAGGTTACATGAAGGTGGCTGTGCTCGAATTTAATAAATCTGTGAGGTATCCCAGATCTTTGATTTGTCTATTTCTTTCGCTTCCAAATTATCCATTGTATTTACCGTTTCTGATATGAAAATCTTGACCTTAACTTTTTAAGGAAATATCCAAAGAGGGGGAAGGCAACAACACCAACACCAATATTGAAAATCTTACCTTCACTTAGTAACAAATATCCAAAGAGGAGGAAGATAACAACACCAACACCAATAACCTTCATTTACTATGAAATATCTAAAGAGGGGAAAGATAACAACACCAACACCAATGTGGTAAGATTCTTCAGTTGGATAACTCGTATTGTGCTAATGATTTTGTGGAATAACTCGTACAATACTATCATTTATTTATTCAGGATGAAAGAGAATATCTATTGATGATGTTCATGATGCACAATTATACTTGTTCATCTTTGATAATGAGAGTTAACTACATTGTATTCTTTATTTTTTAAAGTGCTTCTACAGTAGATAGTTTATAATCCTTTGTGTTGGCTACATGTGTGTTGTCGAAACGACAACTGCTTCACGTCGAAAGACGTGGTTCAAATAGTGGATTGGATGAATAGTAAAAACAATGTATTAATTGGTAAAAATTTTTGGGATTCCCCCATTACATGGCCCTAGGGGGCTATTTATAGTCTTAGTATAGGCTCATACCCTTTAGGGTTTAGTGTGTATAGAGGAATTTACATAGATACCCTTATGATAGGGACATTAGTGAGGGCATACAGTGTCCACTCAGGTTATGTGCCCCTAAATGGGCTTCTTGAGCCGGCCCGCTAATGGCGAATGGCCTTCTTGGGCCGGAGCGGCGTAGCACTCCCAAGGCCTTTTGTTGAAGACAAACCCCCAATGGGTGAACTCCTTCTGCTTTGCCTGATGGAGAGACTCGATAACGAACCCTATGGCCTCCATTCTTTGGCTTTGCCCGATTGGTTTGCCCTATGGCTTCGCCTGATTGGTTCGCCCCATAGCTTCGCCTCCAAGCGAACCCTTCTAATTTAGTTGACGCGTTGCTGATCCGATGCTTTCAGCAGGTTCAGTCGAAGACCCTCATAACATGCCTCCAACAATGTATATTTTGCAGACGTACTCAGACATTATGCAACAAGAGCAGTTTGCGGTCGCTGAAATTAGCAGGATAAGTGATACAAAGACTCTGATGGAGCAAAACTTGTGCAATCTAAAGAAAGCGATCAAGTCCCCGAGTTCAGACAATTTAAGGAGGATTGTGGCATTAACAAGAAGAATTGGTGAGCTAGAAGAGGACAGGACTCTACACTGCAGCTGATGGTGCTAAAGGAGGTCAAGTTGGCAGCTACAAGTGCAAAGGCCAAAGAAAGCAAAACTATCCAGGTGATAGAGGCCGATGTGGCAAATGATCCCGAGGAAAACAATTGGGGAGGCATGCTCGGCTGCATATTCCACGTCTTGCGGAAGCCAGAAGGGATGAATCTCGCTGGATTTTTCACAATTTGATCCTTTTAAAAAATTTATTTTGCAAATAGACCCCTAAAAAACTTATCCTATAAAATGATCTTTTTTGGGGCGCCAGAGTCGCTGGCGCCGTCCACCTGCCACCATGGTGGGGCGACGCTGAGGTGGCAGGGGGAGCGCGCCAATGTGGCTGGCGCTCCCCCCTCCCCCCCCCCCCCCCCCCGCAATTTTTTTACTCTCATTTTTTTATATTTTTTCACACTTAGGAGCACACGAGAACCAACCATAGAAAAATTAAACTTAAATACACGAAATATGTGACTTGTAGAATTTGACAAAGCTCTGCCAAAAAGTTCCCCCCTCCCCCGCGCTCTCTCCCTGCTCTTCGTTTTGGTTTTTCGTATAGTCCAAAAAAAATAGATTAGATTTCGAACAATTTTGAGCCTTTTTTTTATATCTTTTACATCCTATAAAAAAGTTAGGGTTTGTGTTTTTTTTTTTACATTCGGGTGTCATTTCTGAAAACATGCGTAACTTTCTCGTACAGACTCGGAATCAGGCAAATAATATATCCACGGACATCTACAGAAAAAGTTACATACAATTCTTCCCGCCTTGTCGGGTTCGGCGAAATTAGAATCTCCAAATTCCGCTTGCAAGATTGTGTTTCCGAGGCGAGAAACTTTTCGGTAGAGCTTTGGAAAATTCTACAAGTCACATATTTCGTCCATTTGAGTTTATTTTTTTATGGTTGGTTCTTGTGTGCTCCTAGTTGTGAAAAAAATATAAAAAAAATAAATAATAAAAGTTGCACATCTCTCTCTCCTCTGCACTAGAGAGGAGAGGAGAGGAAAAAATGACGGGAGGCGGGGGGAGGGGGGGCGTCTCCCTGCCACCTCAACGCCGACCCGCCACAGTGGCAGGAGGATGACGGTAGATAGGCTGGCGCAGTCCCGTTGGTCGACAGTGCCAGCGACTCTCACGCTCCAAAAAGGGGCCATTTTTAGGATAAGTTTTTTCAGGGGTCTATTTATGAAATAAGTTTTTTTAAAAGGACTCTGCCGCCCACGCACCGCTCCTCTGCCCGCCGCCTGCACGCCGCTCCTTCCCCACCGCCCGTGCACAGCTCCTCTCCGCCGCCATCATTGCCATCGCGTCGCCCTTCGCCGGCCGCCAACGCCCTCCTCCTCTCCCGCCTCCACTGCCGGCCTCGCAAAGTGAGAGAGAGATGAGGAAGGGAGAGAAGATGGTAAAGAGAGAGGAGGCTGACATGGCCATGTTGACATATGGGTCCCTTGTGGGTCCCATGCTGACTCAGCCGCCACCTCGGTCAAAACCGGAGTCAAAACCAATGAAGGGGTGGGCATTCGGTCTTTCGGTCATTTCGGTCTTTGAAAAGTGAAGACCGAATTTCAGTGAAAAAATGTCATGACCGACAAATTCAGTCTCGGTCTCGGTCCTGACCGAAATTCAACAACATTTTCATACATGCAAAGAAATAATGAAAATTTTCAACGCAAAAATCACAAAAAAATATCGTAAGCACTTATGAGCAAAAACTCTTATTAGGTTGCATGCCTAGAAGAAGTAGGGATGTGAAAATTAGAGTTTAATCCTATTAAACATAGTGGATTATAGGTTGTATTTAGACATTTTTTTTGATAATTCGGTCTTTTTGGTCTATTCGGTTACCTGAGGAGACTAACCGAATTGACCGAACAAAATTCGGTCTTTCACTGCCTAGAACCGAATTGATGACCGAATTTCTCGGTCTCGGTCTTTTCAGTTCGGTCTTTTTCTGTCCACCCCTACGAAGGACCTGAAGTAAATGGTTTTATAAGTTGAGGGATGTCATATATCTGGTTTTGCTTTTGGGACGATTTTGTAACTCGATGGCAAGTTGAGGGGTCTTCGGTGTACTTTTTCCTTTGTAAAAATGCCCTAAACACTCGAAGGCTGAGGCCCAATCGGCAAATCCAGCCCAGGCCCAACAAAACTCCACCCGAAGACGATGATGTGCTCCCTCCCCTCCTCCGCAGTCGGCTCCGTGCGGTGGCAGCGCAGCGTGCGGCGCGGCGCGGCGCCATGGCTCGAGCCCTCCTCCGAATAACCCGCAGCTATTGCCCGCTCTCCCCGTCCCCACGCCTCCCGCCGCCGCTCCACCACCGCGGCGCCGCGCCTCCTCTCCGCTTCCGCTTCCTCTCCCTCTCATCTTCCTCGGCCCCATCCTCCTCTGCTGCGGCGACCGCGAATAGCTCGGATGGTCCCGGTGAGAAGGGCGGCGGCGGCGGCGGGTGGGATGACTACCTGGGGATGAGCGACGACGAGCTGATGGGGCAGTGCGAGATGGGCACGTTCAAGGCGTCCGGCCCCGGCGGCCAGCACCGCAACAAGCGCGAGTCCGCCGTCCGCCTCCGCCACCGCCCCACTGGCATCATCGCCCAGGTGAGCCTGAGCCTCCGGTTTTCCCTTTCACCCGTTGATTTGCTTCCGTTTCCCTCCCCAATTCGTTGCATTAGTTTTACTGCTCTTCTTGTTGAAGCTGCCAGAACGTGCAGTTCAGTGTTTTTACAGCACTGTTGCCTCTGAATTCTGAAGAAAATGAAGGGTGTTTGTATATACATTGGCTATATGAAAAGATTAAACTCGATAGTGCTTACACATTCACAGCATACGGCTGATAGTTTGTACTTTGTAGTAGTTGGTTGATCAAGATCGATTTATAATCCTTCCAATTGACGATTTGGTGAAATTCATCAATCTGTTGGGTTTAAGCACATTCATCATATCCACTGAGCTTAAATGAACATTTTCGTGTAATGCTTCTTATGTTCTTGTCGTGAACATACGGATATGCTGTTTTCTCCATGGATGCGAAATGTTATCTCTATGGATGCGAAATGTAGCTTATTGTATCAATGTAATCGCCAGAACATTTTACTTGAGATTAAATGCCTAATTTGTGTCCTGGTTATCCATGTAATCCATGGCATGCAATGTTTATGTAAACGAACCAGCTTCTTTCCTTTCTTCTCGTTATGGATTTATGGTTTTCACAGGCTGTGGAGGATAGATCACAGCATATGAATCGAGCATCTGCCTTGTCTCGGCTTCGAACCTTGATTGCTCTCAAAGGTAATTTTGTTATATTTCAAAAAGTTATGCATGTGTGCTGGGTAGATAGTTATACACTGACAAATTTTGCTACCGGACATCGTGACTTCAAGGTTTTAGCTGCAGGACGTGACTTTTGGGGAAAACACTCCCAAAAGTTAGATATTTACTGGTGGACACCGCACCCATTAAAATAATAATTTCCGGTTGAAGAGGAGAGAGAAATCGTGTGAAATATCAAAAATGAGAGAAATCGTGTGAAATATCAAAAATGCCCTTGGGCCTAGCTCTCCTATATCTCTTCTCCCGCTATCCCCTCCTCTTCTCTCTCTCATCTCGCATGTCAGCGACAACGGCGGCATGCGAGGTCCAGTGGCGGCAGGAGAACTAGGGGTAATGACCTAGAGAAATAGATGATCAAAATGTCACATTAGGTCGTTTGCATTTAGACTCGTTTTCAATTTATATACATTTGAGATTGTTTCTGTCCAGGGCCGGTCTGATCAATGGCATTGAGCCGGTCTGACCGCCGGGTAAACCTCGGTCTGACCGGCCGCCTGGTGGCTGGCGGCTGTGCTCTGGGATGGCGATCCAGAGCCGCCAGGGCCGCAGCCGGTTAGACCGAGCTGGTGGCGGTCTAACCGAGCCGAGGCCGGTCTGACCGGCCGCCCTATGGTGGTCTGACCGGCTGGGCTGAGGGGGCTCAATGATTGCCCTGTAACGGCTAGTTTTCTAACTAGTCGTTACAAAATAGTCTGGTCTAACCGGCCATACAATGACGGTCTGACCGGCAGTTCACTAAGTTGGGGGATTTCACCCCCAACGGCTAGTTTTGCTTGGTGGGAGTATAAATACTCCCCCACTAGCAGCAAGGGGACTCTCTCTTGGCGCTTGCTTCACTTGCATACACCCCTTGCACACTCTCACACTCTCGAGGGCTTGTGTTCATCTATTTAGTGTGTTTGAGAGATTGTTGAGCCAAGAGTCAAGTGCATTGCTTTATTGTAGAGCTAGTGACACTTAATCATCTCCGAGCCGCGTCATTGCTTGTTACTCTTGGAAATTGGCGCCTCCTAAACAACTTGTGGAGGTGTTGCCCGGTGACCTCTCTGAGGAGATTGTGGAGGAGGCCCGACGCCGATTGTGAGTGGTTTGGAGTTCACTACCTTCGGAGTGAAAGAAGAACTACCCTAGTGATCAAGGCTAGGGTAGTCCTCTCCGTGTGTCGGCTCCCACCTTGCCCACCCCTTGACGAAGGGGGCGTGCGGTGGCTTCGTGGTTGAGCGGTGGAGTTGGGCTTGCCTCAACGGGGATTAGGAAAGCGGCGAGTCTCCGGACCTCAGTGAAAAATTTCTTGTCTCTTGTCTCATTTATTTGTTGCATTTACATTTGTGCAATTTACATTCATAGAGACATATTTGAGCCCATATCACCTTAGGATTGCAAAACTTAACTTAGATGTGTGATTTACTTTCCTAGAGATATATTTAAGCCCATATCACCCTAGGTTTGCAAAACTTAACTTAGTTGCTTAGTTAACCTTGCACCTCTCCTTGTCTAGCAACTTAGGTTAGTTTTGTTTAAGTGCCATTTAGTTTTAAATCGTCTATTCACCCCTCCTCTAGTTGACATCTCGATCCTATAAGTGGTATCAGAGTTAGGTTTCTCTTGATCGGGCTTCACCGCTTAGAGAGAAGATGTCGAACGAGGTGAACCATGTAGGGAAGGCTCCCATGTTCAATGGCACAAATTACTCCACTTGGAAAATTAAAATGTCTACTCACCTTAAGGCTATGAGTTTCCATATTTGGAGTATTGTGGATGTAGGTTTTGCCATCACCGGTAGCCCCTTAACGGAAGCTGATCACCACAACCTCCAACTCAATGCTCAAGCCATGAATGCATTGTTCAACTCTTTGAGCCAAGAGGAGTTTGATAGAGTGAACAACCTTGAGACCGCATATGAGATATGGAACAAGTTGAGTGAGATTCATGAGGGCACTAGTGAGTACAAGGATGCAAAGCTTCATTTCCTCAAGATCCAATATGAGGCGTTTGCCATGTTGCCTCATTAGAGTGTCAATGACATGTATAGGATGTTGAATGCGATAGTCAATGATCTCAAGGGGCTTGAGGCAATCTACTCCGACATTAAGGTGGCTCAAAAGATGCTATGGGCTCTATCGGACAAGTATGAGCACTTAGTCACCTTCGTCATCAACTCCGACATGTCAAGGATGACACCAGTAAGCCTCTTGGGGAAGATCAAGACCGATGACATGTACAAGTTGAAGAAGAAGAAGATGGAGAAAGCCTCTCCATCCAAGAAGTGCATTGCTCTCCAAGTCGAAGTGGAAGACAAGGGCAAGAGCAAGGTGAATGAAGCAAATGATGACTAGCAGGAAGAGATTGCTCTTCTTGCTAGAATGTTCAATGATCTATTAGGAAGAAATGAGAGAGGAAAGGGCTCTAACTCCAATAGAAGAAGAAATAGGAGACCCAACAAGACTTTCTCCAACTTTAGATGCTTTGAGTGTGGTGAGAAGGGACACTTTGCTTCCAAGTGTCCTTCAAAGGATGATGATGGAGACAAGTCATCCAAGAAGAAGAGTGGAGGCTACAAGCTCATGAACAAGCTTCAGAAGGAGAGAAAGAAGATTAAGGCATTCATTGGGCAATGGGACTCAAATGAAGAGAGCTCCGCTTCATCCGGGTTCGAAGCAGAAGATAGTGATGATGATGCAAGCTCCAAGAAGAAGAAGATGGCCGTAGTTGCTATCAAGGAAGCTCCATCACTCTTCGCTTCACTTTACCTCATGGCAAAGGGTTCTTTTAAGGTAACATCTCTTAGTGATAGTGAAAGTGATGATGATCATGATGATGCTTCCTATGATAGCTTGTGAGTATGATCATGCGTAGTGAGAAAGAGATTGTCAAGTTCAAGGCTCTAAAGAAGGATCATGCTTCTTTCGAGGTCTTGTATGAGGAGCTAAAGACTTCACATGAGAGACTCACCATTTCTCAGGAGAAGATTAAGGAAGCTCATGACACCCTCCTTTCCATTACTCAACATGGAGCTCATATTGATGTTGGCATATCTTGTGACTTGCTTGATGATAGTACTACCTGTCATATTACTCATGTTGCATCATCTAGCATCTCTACTTCTTGTGATGATCTTATGGATATGCCTAACTCTAGCTCTTGTGATTCTATTTGTGATGCCTCACTTGTTGTTGAGAACAATGAGCTTAAGGAGTAAGTGACCAATGTCAAGATGAGTTTGAGAAGGATAAGCTTTGTAGTGCTTGTCAAGCCGACAAGCAAGTTGCATGCTCTCATTCTTCTAAGAGTATCATGTCTACATTTAGACCATTGGAGCTCTTGCATATAAATTTGTTTGGCCCAACAATCTATAAGAGTATTGGTGGGAATAATCATTGCCTTGTGATTGTTGATGATTATTCTCGCTATACTTGGGTGTAGTGCGGAACAATACGCTCAGAGTGAGAAAGAGGAAGAAGAAGAGGTTAAGGGGGCTGAGGAAGAAGAAAATGATGATGGTAACGATGATGGCGAGGATGATGAGGGACCTCTTGATCCTTCCATTCAGTTTGTGCTCAACTTGAGGAATCCCACTCAATACACCATTCTTCGCCATCATGATCAGTTCCGGGTGCCCAGAGACTCAGATGATCCAAGATTCCACACAGTTTCAGAAGGCCGTGTATGAGTGCATCTACAGGGAAAAGGCCTTTGCTGCGCATCTACAGGGAAAAGGCCTTTGCTGAGCATAAGTGGATCTCCTGGTCTTATAAATAAGACTCCGGAGTTTGAGGGTTTACAAGACCTTTTAAGAGCAGTGGGGATTGATCGCATAGTCACTCTGAAGCAAGACTATGATGAAGACTTGATCTGCCATTTTTATGCTACTGTGTGGGTTGCTGCAGATTATAGAGTGCTATGAAGTGGATGTCAGGGCCTATGCAGTGTTCTATCACTCGGCGTGAGTTCAAGGATCTATTAAACATCCGGTTCAACAATGGTGACGATCTCCATAAAGAGCTCAACCACAACCCATTCTCCTTTGATGCCTTTGCTCAGTTCTATGAGGATGGAGGGAGGCACACCTATGGGAAGGTGGCTTGATTGAGGACCGTTCCTAACGTGGTCAACCGCATTGTGAGAGCCACTATCCTCCCTAGGCGTGGAACAATGATGACATCCGAGGAATTGCATGGCATGTGATTGATGCCATTATGGAGGGACGGCGCTTTGATGTCATCAATCTCATGATGCAAGAGATAGCCATCTCTAAGAGAACTTTTGGACAAGGGATATACTATACACCATACATTATGCGATTAATCCAAAACAAGTTGGGAAATGTTGAAAACGATTTGAAGGAGCACAAGCAATATAAGACTCCAACTCTCAACTCCTAGAGCCACTCGAGTGCGCCAACCCACTTTTGATCAAGGCGCAGGCTCTAGTGCGGCACCTCCTCCTCCTCATGGACTTAATCCTAATTCCTTTTTCCATTCCCAACATGCATACTTTGGAATGCAACCTCATGAGTACTTCAATCCGGTGCTTGGGGCTATAAATAGCCTAAGTGATAACATTCAAATGTTAACCACCGGGCATGAGGCCATGTATGAGGATGTGCGAGGTTTGAGAACGGACATTGGGGGCTTGAATGTATCGGTGGGAAGGTTGAGCAATAGGGTTGATGCTTTGGATCAAAGTGTTCAAATTTTGGAGAGCACCAATGCTTTTGTCTACCAACGTCATCATGATTCCTCCGCTCCATCTCACTATCCTATTTCCCCTCCTCCTTCTCCTCAAGAAAGCTCTTTTTGTGTTTGATGCCAAAAGGGGAGAAGAATGTGTCTTCTAGAATGTCTTTTCTCTTTGGGATGGGACTAGTAGTAGTGAGGTTAGTTATCTCCTCTCTAGTAGGCTAAGATGGTTGGGCTATATATTATGTATGGGTATAGGCTATTACTCTATCTTCTGTG